CGGCTAAAGGTCGGCGCTGATTGGCTTGATTTATTCAATAATTACTCCTTTCTTATATGTAATAGAAAAAAATGGTTCAGGACTTTTCGACTCAGTTTTACTCTTTCTACTTGCCTACGAGAATGTTAAAGTAATTGTCGGACACCCTGTATATACATATATACCCAGCAAACATTTTGGTTACAAAACCATATCCATCTGTGTCTCCAGTAGTATATGGTTTGTGTTAACCATGTCTGTCAACATGTGAAATGTCAAAATGCGACCAAAATGATGACAGAGTCAGCCACAAGCAAAGCGAAGCCAAATTATCGCCAAAGTAAAGCCAAAATCCGGAATAGGTTCGGTCATTGTCTGTTGGCGCCAAATTGCAAACAGTCCGCACGTATACACGAACAGACCTGCTTGGCGTTTGGTGGCAATCTGTTGTCAATGCGTTTAACAGATTGACCCGACTTTTGTCGTAAACAAATTTCTGGTACAATTTTGCGGACTGTTCAGTCACAGTATTGCTAAAAGCAGATCTGCTTGTAATCAACCATCTATTTGTTGTTAATTCTACTGACATATATGGAATCGTTTTGGCTGCAATACTCTCATGTATTTATCAACAGAGGTGTTGCGTTTTTTCTTTCTGTGTGCTAACAATTTTGGCAGTGTTTCCGCATTGTAACATTTCTGCAAACAGTTTCTGTTATCAAAGTCTGCGCCGAAATTGTCAAAAACAGAAATTGTTTGCTGGGTATATATATATTTTACAATTTCTGACTGCGCAAACTTGGCAACAGAGACTGTGTGCAGAAACGTTACAATACGGAAACATGCGTTGCGTGCTGCCAAAGCTGTTACCAAACAGACACAAAAGACGCAAAATGGTCATCAAATCTCATCAAAACCATATCCTACTGAGGACACAGATAGATATAGATTTGGTCTGGCGGTTGGCGACAAAATCACGACAAATAATAATCAAATTGTTTGCTGCTATATATATATTGCAAGTACACATTAGTTCGGTTCGTTTCCAAAATATATATATATATATATATATTGCAAGTACAAATTAGTTCGGTTTGTTTCCAAAAAATAGCTCCGGCTGTTGTGAATGGTTTATAGTGACAGCTGATTTTGGCGGTATCAGTGAGGTTAGATATTTGCTAATAATATACAGTTTATATCACTTTGAGTTTCATACAAAAACCTTGATTTTTACAGAGTTTGAAATGTCGAATTTGGTGTTAACCAAGCAGCAATTGCGGGAGGTTTTAATTTTCTGCTTTAATTAAAAGAAAAGTGCAGCTGAAGCCCATCAAATGCTTTTCGAAAGTTATGGTGACACTGCTCCAACTGATAAATCATGTAGGGAATGGTTTCGATGTTTCAAGGATGGAGATTTCAGCGTTGAAGACAAGCCTCGCTCTGGACAACCAAAAAAATTCGAAGACAAAGCATTACTTGGAAGCATTACTCGAAGAAGATCAGAGTCAAACGCAAGAGGAGCGTGCAGAATCATTGGGAGTAACTCAACAAGCTCTTTCTGTACGATTAAGAGCCATGGGAATGATTCAAAAACAAGGAAATTGGGTGCCTTATAAACTGAAACCGAGAGACGTTGAAAGGCGAGTTTTCACTTGAAAGTTGCTGATTCAAAGGCAACAAAGAAAAGGTGTTTTTGCATCGGATTGTGACTGGAGATGAAAAGCGGATATTCTACGACAATCGCAAGAAGAAAAAATACTACGCTAAGCTCGGTCAATTGTTGCCATCAACCTCAACGTCAACACCAAAGTCGAACATTCATGGTTCGAAGATCATGCTGTGTATCTAGTGGGACCAAAAGATTGTTGTTTACTATGAGCTGCTGAAACCTGGCGATTCCATTACAAGCGATCTGTATTGGCTACAACTGATTCGTTTGAACCGTGAATTGCGAGAAAAACGGCCAGAATACGAGCAAACACATGATAAAGTTATTCTTCTTTGTGACAACGCTTGGCCTATGTCGCAAATGTCGTAAAAAAAAATTTGGAAACGCTCAAATGGGATGTTTTACCGCACCCGTCGTATTCTCCGGACAGTGCTCCTTTTGATTACTGGTTATTTCGAAAGATGCAGCACGATTTAGCAGGTCACCGGTTCACTTCTTTCGCAGAAAGTAAAAATTGGCTCCAAACTTGGATCGCCTCCAAAGACGAGTCATTTTTTCGAGATGGAATTCGAAAATTGCCTGAGAGATAAGAAAAAGTAGTAGCCAGCGATGGACAATACTTTAATTAATCTGTTCATTCATTTTGTCTTGGAATAAATGCATTTTTGAACACAAAAAAAACGGACCGAACTAATTTGTATTCTCAAGCGTACATACAGGGTGTTGTATATATATATTTATATATAAACTGTGACGTGGTAGTCGCGCCGCTCCTCCCTCGCCACAAAAAGCTCTCATGATCGCGGGAGTCCGGGGGTGCGAACCGTCTGGGAAGCGCCAAGATCCTCCAGGGCTTGCTTGCGTGCGTTAGATTTAGTTGTTTATTTGTATTATTTTATTTGTATGCTCTTGGCGCCTCACCGCATCGAGACCACTCTACTGGAGGAGATATCAGGAACCATCGAGTCTGGGTAAAAGCGAGAGTAAACGAGAGAGAAGGGCGTGCGTGGAGTCGCAGCTAGGCGCTCACACGACGACCAGAGGGGCGAGTCTCCAGAACTCAACGGCGAGAAAGATGACAAAGCGGAGGACAGCGAACCTTGGCGCTGAGAAGCCGAGGCAGCAAGGCGAGCACCCGACGAGGGAAACAGCTTTAACTTCCTTTTCACCTCGGAAAGGCCTGCTGCACGCCTCTACTGCTAATCTGCAACTACGACCCTGCTACGATACTGCATGCGGCATCGCTGGTGCATTTGCGGAATTCCGCGCTCGAACATATCTGCTGCTTACATTTGCGCCAGTAAGGGCCCGATACTCGCTTCAAATTTCGCGGCCGCGAGTCCTGCCGCCGAGCGCGAGCATCGCGTCGCATGTAGCGCCCCTCGCGACCTGATTGGTCGCCGCGATCTACCCTACGCGATCCTAG